CCGCGCGGGGCTGAGGATCCGGAGGGCAGGGGGGCAGGGGGGGGGGGGGGGGGGGTGAGGGCTGCAAGCGGCCCCGAAATCCTGCAGCAGTGGGGGGATCCCAGGCTGCAGTCCCCTCCTCCCTGCTGCCCTGGGGGACACCCAGCGGGGACAGTGCAGCCCTGGGGAGACACAGAGCGAGCTGCAGAGCCCACACGGTTTCTCCTCTTTGCTGACTTTCCTGCCATCGCCCTCTCTGCAAGAAATTCCACAAGCACCTGCCAAAGCCCGCAGGTCCCACACCCCGACCCCGGGCAAACACGGGCCCTTGCACGGCCATGTTTGTCCTTGGACAACAGAGAAGAGAGGATTGCCAAGCACGCTGACCCTGCGGGCTGCGCAAGGGGACGGAGCGCTGGACCCCTCTGAGCTGCATTGGAAATCCCAGCCCCAGACAGGCACAGCTTTAGGGAAAAGCCCAAACATGGTGCGGGCTGTCACATGCGGCTGGAGCCCAGGGCAGAGCCAGGGAGCCACCGGCACGGGACATGGTTCCCTGTAGGAAGCAGCCGAGGACATTGGTGGGGGGACTCGGCCGGGCAGCAAGGCAGCCCTGGGGATGCCCAGGGAGACACGGAGCAGAAGTGAGGGGACAAGTGGAAAGGGCGGGTGGGACCGGGAGCCGGCACTGCCGCCAGGGACCAGGGCAGGAAGCTCATGTCAGAAACGACGGGCTCACTGGCTGGTGCCATCAGCCTGGGCGCTCCCCTGGGTCCAGCTGCTGCCAGGAAAGGTGCTGTCAATGGGGTTTTATTTGGCTTGTTCGTTATTTGGGTTTTTTATTTTTCAGACTTCCTCACCCCATGGAATAAATGAGTCGGCGCAGTTCACTGCGCGCTGAGGCATGGCTCTGGCTCTCCCACCCAACGCAAACCTTCCCGCCCACTCCCCCACGTGTGCTCCCACCTCTCCCCAGCTTTCCACCAAGTTACCTCCCAGCCAGACCAGTATCCCCAGTTAGTCTCCCACTCCGGCCCACCGTGGGGGCACGGACACCGGCACCAACACTGGGATGTGCAGGGGCATGCCCTGGGCGGGTGGCAGGGAGGATACCCCATTAGCAGGTGGTTAAAGTGTTCCTCAAACTAAAGCACGAAGGGCTCTGGGTAAGAATGAATCACTGAAACCACATCGCAGTGTTCATGTCCAGCCCCGGTGGAAACGCTCATCCGGAGTGAACCAGCCACCTTCCAAAATAAACCGCACCGCCGGGACCGCGCTCACCTGGGCGAGAGCCGTGAACTCCCCGTGGTCCAAGGGATGACTTTCAGAGCCGTTGGTGACCCCCTCCTCAAAGCTCCCCGTGGGAACGCACCCGGCCCCTCACCCTCGGAGCAGTGAGACCCCGAACTGGCCAGACAGGTCAGGACCCCACAGTGCCAGGGGGTCTGCACCCTGCCTGGCCCACCTCGGCCTGCCGCCCTGCCCTTGCCCCGGGGGTTCCATCCTGCCCCAGTCCCCGTGTCCCACCCCGGGGCTCCATCCTGCCCCGGTCTCTCTGTCCTACCCCGGGGCTCCATCCTGCCCCGGTCCCCGTGTCCCGCCCCGGTACCTGCGTCCCGGCCCCCGCCACGGTCGTGCCGCCCCCCGCGGGACCCCACGTCCCGTGTGTCCCCCC